CGGAGGCTGAGGCGGAGGAATCCAACCAGAAGCAAGTGCAGCCTCTTCGTCTTCCTTTGGCCAGCTATAGAACAGTTTACATGTTCCTCGGTAACACTAAGGTATAAATACTGAGTTGTGAACAAAATACGAAGCAGCGAAAGAAAACGTACTGAAATCGCGTAGTGTCCTTTATTGGGTCCTGACGCACATTTCCAAGGGATAAGCAGTCGCCTACAAGTGGGACCATCACAGCGCTGTTCCTTTGTGAGGTCGCGCATTGGTGGCAATGGAGAAACGCGGTATCGCGTGCGGGTTTGAAGAGTATCATGTGTGGGTTCAAAGAGTATCGCATGCGGGTTTGATGAAGGTGGTAAAGAAATGCGCGATGGTTCGAAAAAGAGTCGGAACGGAAGGAGATGAGAGAGTCGGTTCGAAGAGTATCGCGCGTGTTCAATGATGGTGGTAATGGAGAAAGAGTCAAGAGAAAGGAATGGGTTCAAAGAGTATCGTGTGCGTGTTCGATGAAGGTGGTAAAGAAATGAGCGACGGTTCGAAAAAGAGTCGGAATGGAAGGAGATGAGAGAGTCAAGAGTATCGCGCGTGTTCGATGATGGTGGTAAAGGAGAAAGAGTAAATGAGTGAATGTACTGCCTTTTATAGGCACACACTTTCTAAATTCATCAATTATTTATTTCTGAGTAGCGATTAGCGAACTGTGTAAGAATTATGGTTTAGAGTAAAAGGTTGTACTGTAAGGATTATAAGTCTGAGATTGATAGGACGCAGTGTAAGAGTTCTGATGCAGATATGTAAATGAGAATGTAGGCAAGGTTGGTGCAGACTGTATAGGTAGAGTGGAAGCGGCAGATGGTACAGGTAGCATGGTGGATGCATGAGTTGACACTTGCATTCGAGGCTTTGACCTATATTCAGGTAGGTGTAAGTTGGCGAAGGAAGTTGGCACACAAGATACGCACTTTGAATTTGCCTTCGAACCACTATTTTTTCCTCCACTGTATCCTCCGCTGTCGTACACAGGCCTTTTCTTATTCTTCATGCGAGGCATTGTAGCTGCAGTCTCCTTCACAGTGCTCCGATTAGGCGTAACTTTCTGCTTGTTTGGAAGGACGGTTTTCGGAAGAACCGCTTTGGGAGCAGGTAGATGAGCACACTGAGCAACCACAGCAGTGAGTTGCTGGCCAAGCTGCGGGTTCGAGGAATTGTAAGGGAGCCAAGTAGGATCGACCTGCAAATGACCCAGTAAGATCTTCAGGTTCTCTACGAGAGCTTGGTTACTGAACGGAAGTGGTGTTGGAACGGTCTCGCATGTTGGTAAAGCAACCGGATGAACTAGAAGAGTTGGAAGAGGAGTTGGAAGAGCTGATAAAGCAGCCGGATGAACTGAAGGAGTTGGAAGAGGAGTTGGAAGAGCTGGTGGAGCAATAGGCGGCGTGCGAGGGATAAAGTCACCTGCATCGATGTTATCAGAGTGACCGAAGAAGCGCTGCACCGCACATAGATGCTTGCAGAAGTGGTTTGATGTGAAATCCAAGCAGCTGCATAGATACGACTCCAGGTCAACCTGATACTGCTTTGTAGAGTCTGACTTCGACCTAACCAGATAAATGACAGGTGTCGAGGATGACAGTAAGCCATTTTGATAGTCAAAGTCAGCTGGATCATCGATTACTTGAATATCCTCAATGCAATATTGCTTGAAGGCCGTCGCTATCACCTGCTTCCGCTTTTTGACTTCCAATCTTTTGCCTTCAAAACCAGCTTCTTGCCGAGCTTGTTTCAAGCAATAGTATGCAAGTACCTCTTCAACAAGACAGTGAATGAGGAAGTTGGCGCGTCAATTCCGTTTACCATGGAGAAACTTGCCTTTCAAAACATGGTGCCATCTAAAGTAAGGTCAGTTAGGTTATTGGAATTGAACAGAACGAGATATGAATGTACGCTTCTATCAGCATATTAGTGTCACAATCTTCAAAGATAGACCGATCGATTCAATACATCGCAGACTACATTCTAACAATAGTTTCGGACATCCATGTCGTTTCAAGATAGGTAAGAAACTTGAGGTCAGCGAACTCTTCAGAAGCACGTTTCCTGACTTCAGCCCAGACTGTCTGAAACTTTGCATAGTCGGTTATACGGATCCATGACTTGAGAAGGACCCAGAGCTCAGGATGCTGCGAGACACGGAAATGTTGTTGCCAATCATGAAGTACGTGTAGGGTTTTGAAGTACAATTTATTAAACTGCAAATAAATCATAAATTGTATTGTATTGTACTGCAAAATGTATCACTGAAGCTTGTACTGATACACAGTTTAAATCAGTACAGGTTTACAGTTTATTCAAAATGTGAAAATTGCTTAAACTGCTTTGAATTGGTTCAAATCAGTACACATTTACAGCAGATTATACTAGTGTAAACATTGCATTACACCTACAAAAAAAGCTTACAGTGTCATTTATTACTCCAATCTTGATCAAGATGTACTTTCAATAGTTTATGAGAACTTCCTATAACATGGATGTTGTAAAACATTACATATCTGGTAGCAAACAGTATGTAAATGATCAGTTTATGTCAGTTTATACTGATATAAACCAATTTGAATCTGAACTGATTTAAACTCATAAATTGTATTGTATTGCACTGGTTGTATCAGTACAATCAGTACAAGTACACAGTTTAACCAGTTTTCAATAAATCTTGTACCAGTACAATTCATGATTTATTGGATTTGGACCAAATAAATTGCATTGCATTGTACTTTGAAACCCTAAGTACGTGCCACCAGCAGAGGAGAAGTATGGCTGTAGTGAAAACTGCTAAGCATGCATTGATCTGGGCATGGTCGCGGTCGGACATGATATACCGAGTATTGACAGATGGTGAACGTTGCTTGACGAGACAAAGGAAATAAGTGATTGTCGGTTCTGTTCCACTGCTGGCAATCATCCAGGCAACAGGAATACCTGTGAATAATTAGTATAGTTTCGGTATCCGAATAACAATACATACCATGACCCCATTTGTCACGTACAACCAATGTAGTCAAGATCATATTCTCGTAGATAGTTGTATTGTGAGTGCCATCAATACAAAGAATATGATGGCCACGTTCTTGGAATATCGTTCGCTGCCATGGTGTCTGTATCATGATCGTAAAGGTATCTGGTGCAATGCCTGAGCCTGCAGGGATCTCATTGTTGACAGCCTTGAATCCTAGAAGTGAATCCTTCGCAGCAAGATCAGCAGCCCAAGCATGAACGGATTGGCCATCATCAGATGCCAGAGTAATTGTCTCAGCATTGATTGCCCTCTTGATTCGGTGAACATTGCGGACTGTGATAAAGCTGTCACGAGAAACGGGTTGCTGTAGAGATTCATTGAACTCGGAATAAGCATTCGCGTGCAACTTCTTGATCTTTGTAAAGCGATTGTAAATCGATTAGTCCAATAAGTCAGTTGTAGATAGCATTGCATACATACAATGTCATCAGTACTGACACCATTTTGCACATCTCCAGCAATAAGTTCGCAAGATTCTAGGGATATCCGAGTGAAACGAAGGTTTTCATATCCAATGGCATGATTATGAGTAGCTTGGTAGGAGCCGAGAACGATGTTGGTATGGAAGTATGTCTTGATTACCATGGCACAGGGACAAGCAGTACGCTTGGTTGGGATTTTTCTTCTACTGGACTCGCACTCCTTCTGAGTTTTCAATCCTCCAGTGCCGTGACGTGCACATACATAGTATTGCCGGTCCTGATAGTGAGCTCCACCAGAAAACACATGAGTTCGACGAATTTCTATTGAGTTAGTCTTCTGTTCCTGCACTCGCCAAGCTTCAAATTCATCCAGGGACGCCCAACGCATATTGAAATGACTGTCATTGATGTCTGCTTCAAAGGTACCAGGAGTTGGATCTGAAGGAATGTCGACTTGGAAAGTAGTTGTCAAAGACTGAGAAGGAAAAGGAAAGTCGTCGAGGATTTCAATGTTGAATTCATTCAGCATGCATGCTGGTATAGGTACAGAGGATGTTTGCTTGCGGGGTGACTTCAACATAGCACATAAGTGAGAAGGTGTCGCGTAGGCCTTAGCAAGTGAATGGAAAGGTGTCGCGTCGACGCGAAGTTCAAAGTAATTTAATTCCGACAGTTTACATCGAATACGGGCGGAGGCTCCGGATTTAGTAATCTTTACTTTCTTATCAAAGCTTTTATCTTACGATCGAGCCGCATTTGGGCGTGAGAATTTGGCAGTTTGGCAAAACTGATTGTGCATCTAGCCAGAGTGGGTCCAAATACAAAGGTAGTTAACAACAAAATATCAAGACTAGGGAATCAGAACTGTATCTAGTGTCTTTATATACTGTAATTGCATTGAGTCAAAGCAAGTCATAGTGTTCCGGATCTGGAAATAAGTCAGTATGACTCAGGATCAGGTACCGGAAATAAGTCAGTATGACTTGGGATTAGGTACCGGAAATGAGTCATATGACTTGAGAATGATTCGGAAAGACCAGGAAAAAGCCGGAAACAGATAGGTAAGTAAAGTATATGTGCATATATGCACAAGTAAGTAAGGGAATATGTGAAAGAAGTGGAAAAGTGAATATATACGTGATTGGCAAGGACACAGTTCTTGACAGCCACATCAACTAACATTTGTCAGATGAAACTACTTATCTCCAACAAGGACAAGGCTGAAGAGGACAAGGGTTCAAAGAAGGCAAAGACATTGAATGGCTTGAAGCTTCTGGTAAGTATTTCAGATGTAGCTTGTCCCTCAAGGAGATCAATCAACACTTCTAATGGGAGGTGACAAGTAAGAAAGCCAAAACTTATGTTTTCATGGCTATTCTTTTGGTATACAATATACTCATTGTAGAATCAATGGTATTCACCCAAGCCAACTAGACAGTAGAAGTCTGTCCAGTTGAACAACAGTTCACACTATAGGACTCTAAAAAAGAAATGCAAACCATCAGCATAACCCCCGGCGGGATTCGAACCCGCAACCTCCAGATTCGCCAATAACCTGCGCTATAGAAGTCTGACGTCATAACCATTAGACAACGGGGGCGTTAAGTTGATTAAGAGCGGCGCATCCAGTAGCAGTGTAGCATTTATTTTGATCATGAGATGAGTACACTTGAAGCTCTAGAGAATCCATTGTCCAGTATAACCATGCAGTAATCCTCCAGTGCACAGTCAGTACCCAGGAGCTCCTCCTCTAAACTTCAAGCCTGACAACTACCTCCTCACAGTAACAACCCACCTCTGAACCCATCCGGCCTTGATAACCGCTGCATGCCACTGGAGCATACCGCTACTAGTAGATGCTGTCGCCGCCATCTCCGATTCCAATTCCGTCGAAGAACCTTCCCGTGCCAATGCTAACGCACGGGCGCCCAGAGCTGACGCATACTCTGCAGACGTGTTAGTGCAAGAGAGGATTTGCAATGGAGCCTCGGGAGTGGGAATAGAATCCAGGTTGGCATTGGTGTTCGCTTTCCCATTGAGAAGAGGGGTAGGAGTAGGATTCAAGATTGAAGCAGAAGGAGTGGTGATGGTAATGGTTGACAGAATCTCTACGACGCGTTTGAGCGAGAGAAGCATAGGCGTCGGGGCTGGCGTCGAGTTCGACTGTATCTGGTCACCCGAATCGATACAGGTATTGGAACATATAAACGGAACCGCACACAACGTCCAGGTCGTACTGTCACTGAGGAACTTGATCTGCGGAGCCAAGACGCTGAATTCGACGGTCCCGATGGTACTAATGGGAAGCGAACGGACGAAGGATTGGATTTGGGCTTCGATGGAGGCATATGGGATGTGGTCGAGGTCAAGAAGAGCAGGAGCTGCGCCGAGAGGCCCAGGGGAAGAGACACCAGCAGACCCACCAAGAACACTGGCAGAGGATGCATATCCAGCCTGAGCGTACCCATTCAGATATACCCAGCCAACAACTCTCATGGTGAACCTCGTCCCAACGTTCAACTTGACTTGATACCCATTCAGAGACAGGGTTCCTTGTAGGAGGGATAACAGGGAAAAATCCGAGTTATCAGGGCAACGGAAGGATTCCAACGTGGATAAGGTAGAAGCAGATGCAGACGCAGACGCAGCGCCATCCGTACGTCTAACGTCCCTCAGCCTCAATTCCAGCTTGCCGCTGAGCAGTCCGGCGAGAAGAATAGATACATCGAGCTCTATGATCGCTTTGGAACCATCATGACGCGTCGGCACTCGCAGAAAATCTATCGGAAATCTAGAACATCCAATGGGAGTGGGCACGATGAGGGAGGAGAGAGCGCGGTGAATGTCGGAGCGACGGGGAACAACAATTCCAGTGACGACGGTAGCAGATTTATTTGATGAATTCTTCTTCGTCGTTTTCATCTTCAATGCAGAGAACAACGACAATGATAGAGATAGCAAGCAAAGAGCGACTGGGAGGAATTTTTGTAAGAATCTGGTGCCGTTATAGTCGAGTAGATGCATATTTGAGACTCCGAGTCGGAAGAAAGCAAGTGGCGCGACGAAGAAACGATAAACGATTGACCTAAAAAACTCCACCGAGTACTCGAGAAGCTCCAGCAACTGGATATGGTGCATGCTGTAACAGCAATAGTTTTAGCTTTATTTCAGCACCATATTCCAATGATGAATTCAGCGACGAATCCGAAGACGGCAGTAAAGCGAGAGAATTTAGAATACGACGCGTAGTTTGTCGAGTATATTCATCGCAATTGGCTTCGAATAGACGGAGTGAATCGATTGGAAGGAAAGTACATTTGGATCGTGTTGAAGTCGTGGTAAGTATTACAGTTAAAAGCTAAACGCCGAAACTTGAATCTACGGATAGTGACACGGACATCGTAGCTGGCATTGGCTCAAGGCTCAAGGCCAAGTTCACGGTTTGTTTTTTTATCGATCCTATAGTAGAGTTACTAGCACTGGTAACTCTACAAAGAGAAAACTCCACGGAAAGCGGCTACATGAGTCAGCTTACGCCGTCATGTCACGTTCCGTTTCTTTCCTTCTCTCGAGTCCTTCACCATGCCACTCAGAACCAAACCTAAACGCACAAATGCCGAGATTCTGCAGGAGCGTCTGAATACGAATGAAGATCTCAGGAAGCTTTTCGAATCCGACCTTGACAAGCACCATTTTAGGCGCTTGTCGGACCCCACCCTCAGGAATCATGCGATGGTCATGAAGCATTATCGAGAATATAGTGAATATACTCGACAGCTCTTTAACGAGGGCAAATCCACCGTTCAGCCAGAAACTCCAGAGATTGCTATTGGCACTCCTCTTCCATCACTCAGTATGTCTCGGAACGCTCTTCTATGTCTTTACATCCTCATCTTTTCATTAGTCTACGCCAAGGGCTTTGCCCGTTACCTGGCCTTGGCTTTGCAAGGACAAGACGAGTCCACTTCCATTCGCTTGGCCACACTCAGAGGCTATATGTCCACCTTCGTCGCTCTCTGGTCCCGTCATGCCGAAGTCCATCCGTCTGAAGAATTCCGGTATCAACTAAATGCATATGTTACCTCGGAAGAGTTTCTCACTTCCTTGCACTAGTTGTATTCTCGCAGCATATGTTTTCGCGCCTAGTCTTATAGCATACAGTATACTCATTGTACTTTTATCAGCGTTCAGCTAAATTGATGTATTTGGATCTGGTATCAAACCAGATTTGCCAACTGAACTTGAAAATAGAAGTCTGATGTCATTAGACAACGGGGGCGTTGACTCGTTCAACAGTGGCGCATATAGTAGTAGTTTGAAGCTGTGATACAATAGACAATCCAGTCTAGAGAATCCATTGTCCAGTATAAGCATGCGGTAATCCTCCACTGCACAGTCAGTACCCAGGAACACCTCTTCCAAACTTCAAGCCCGACAACTACCTCCTCACAGCAACAACCCACCTCTGAACCCATCCGGCCTTGATAACCGCTGCATGCCACTGGAGCATACCGCTACTAGTAGCTGGTGTTCTCGCCGCCGTCTCTGATTCCGATTCTATCGAAGAACCTTTCCGTGCAAAACCTAACGCACGAGCGCCCAGAGCCGACGTATACTCTGCAGACGTGTTAGTGCAAGAGAGGATTTGCAATGGTGCCTCGGAAGTGGGAATAGAATCCAGGTTGGCGTTGGTGTTCGCCTTCGCATTTAGAAGAGAGGTAGGAGTAGAATTCGAAGGAGTGGTGGTGGTGATGGTAATGGTTGACAGAATCTCTACGACGCGTTTGAGCGAGAGAAGCATAGGCGTCGGGGCTAGTGTCGAGTTCGACTGGCTCTGATTTCCCGAATCGATACAGATATCGGAGCACATAAACGGAACCGCACACAACGTCCAGGTCGTACTGTCACTGAGGAGCTTGATCTGCGGAGCCAAGACACTGAATTCGACGGTCCGATGGTACCAACGGGAAGCGAATGGACGAATGATTGGAGTTGGGCTTCGATCGAGGCATATGGGATGTGGTCGAGGTCAAGGAGAGCAGGAGCTACACCGAGAGACCCAGGGGAAGAGACACCAGCAGCACCACCAAGAACACTGGCAGAGGATGCATATCCAGCCTGAGCGTACCCATTCAAAAATACCCAGCCAACAACTCTCATGGTGAACCTCGTCCCAACGTTCAACTTGACTTGATACCCATTCAGAGACAGGGTTCCTTGTAGGAGGGATAACAGGGAAAACTCCGAGTTATCAGGGCAACGGAAGGATTCCAACGTGGATAAGGTAGAAGCAGACGCCAGAGGCAAGGAGCAGCGCCAATCCTCCGTA